AGAAGAAAGGGACATGCTTGGGGATAGGAGTTTAGATCATTGTTTTCTTTCTTTCTTTTTTTTAAAGATTTTATTTATTCATTTGAGAGAGAGAGAGACAGAGCACAAGCAGGAGAGGCAGAAGGAGAGAGAGAAGCAGACTCCCTTCTGAGCTGGGAGCCTGACGTGGGGCTCGATTCCAGGACCCTGAGATCATGGCTTGAGCTGAAGGCAGATGCTTAACTATCTGAGCCACCCAGGTGCCTCATAGATCATTGTTTTCAGTGTTCTTTTCCACTAAATACCTTTTCCTCTGGGCATTGTTTACCTGCGTTTCCCCAGTTCTGATATTTCATGCTTTTATTTTCTAATTTTGTTATTTCCTTTTTGAACAGCACATCCTTAGAAGTCTGTTGCTTAATTTCTTTCCTTTCCTTTCCTTTCCTTTCCTTTCCTTTCCTTTCCTTTGTAGGTTTTTTTTTTAACTTTCCTTTCCTTTCCTTTCCTTTCCTTTCCTTTCCTTTCCGTTTTCGATGTAGTGTTCCACTTTCCTTTCCTTTCCTTTCCTTTCCTTTCCTTTCCTTTCCACGTGCTCTCTTTAATACCCCTTTCCTTTCCTTTCCTTTCCTTTCCTTTCCTTTCCTTTCCATTTTTTTTTAATTTTTTTACTTTCCTTTCCTTTCCTTTCCTTTCCTTTCCTTTCCTTTCCTGTAGTGTTCCATGAGTCATCTTTCCTTTCCTTTCCTTTCCTTTCCTTTCCTTTCCTTTCCTCTTTAATACCCATCACCAGCTTTCCTTTCCTTTCCTTTCCTTTCCTTTCCTTTCCTTTCCTTTGTTTTTCAGAGTCCATCCTTTCCTTTCCTTTCCTTTCCTTTCCTTTCCTTTCCTTTCCATTCTTCCCCTCCTGCTATCCTTTCCTTTCCTTTCCTTTCCTTTCCTTTCCTTTCCTTTCCTTTCAGAGGTACAGATCTGTCTTTCCTTTCCTTTCCTTTCCTTTCCTTTCCTTTCCTTTCCCATACCCTCCCCCAATGCCTCTTTCCTTTCCTTTCCTTTCCTTTCCTTTCCTTTCCTTTCCGCAATCCTCAGTTTGTTTCCCTTTCCTTTCCTTTCCTTTCCTTTCCTTTCCTTTCCTTTCCATGTCTTTACTGATTTCTAGCTTTCCTTTCCTTTCCTTTCCTTTCCTTTCCTTTCCTTTCCTGCTTTGAAAATTGTTGAAACTTTCCTTTCCTTTCCTTTCCTTTCCTTTCCTTTCCTTTCCAGTTTTGAACAGAAGTGGAGCTTTCCTTTCCTTTCCTTTCCTTTCCTTTCCTTTCCTTTCCCTTTGACCATTATGATGTAGCTTTCCTTTCCTTTCCTTTCCTTTCCTTTCCTTTCCTTTCCTTCCTTTCTCTCCCTAGTTCCTTTCCTTTCCTTTCCTTTCCTTTCCTTTCCTTTCCTTTCCATCCTTTTTCTACATCTGTGCTTTCCTTTCCTTTCCTTTCCTTTCCTTTCCTTTCCTTTCCATTCTTTTTGTCTGTTGAAGCTTTCCTTTCCTTTCCTTTCCTTTCCTTTCCTTTCCTTTCCTATGCTTTTGATATGTTGGTCTTTCCTTTCCTTTCCTTTCCTTTCCTTTCCTTTCCTTTCCCCAGTGTTCGTGAGAGATTTCTTTCCTTTCCTTTCCTTTCCTTTCCTTTCCTTTCCTTTCCGTAATTCTGAGCTTGTAGAACTTTCCTTTCCTTTCCTTTCCTTTCCTTTCCTTTCCTTTCCTAAGAGTTAATGAAGGATTGCTTTCCTTTCCTTTCCTTTCCTTTCCTTTCCTTTCCTTTCCCATTTGATCCAGGGTTTTTCCTTTCCTTTCCTTTCCTTTCCTTTCCTTTCCTTTCCTTTCCCTCATAGGTCTGTTTGGATTCTTTCCTTTCCTTTCCTTTCCTTTCCTTTCCTTTCCTTTCCAATTTGTCTTTTTCTTTCTTCTTTCCTTTCCTTTCCTTTCCTTTCCTTTCCTTTCCTTTCCAGAGAGAGAGAGAAAGCACACTTTCCTTTCCTTTCCTTTCCTTTCCTTTCCTTTCC